TAAAATCCATATGGAAAAGAAGTTGTATTGACCCAAATCATAACTTCAAGAAAATATTAAGGCTGTCATAGAAAACTTTATCAAAGAGTTGGCTTTTTGTTTTTGATAAAAATTCATTGATTTTGGAATAAATTTTAAATAGTTTCATTTATAAACACAAAGACAATCCATGGAGTCAAAACATGCTCTGTGCCCTTAAACTCTGGCCTCTGGCCTCAGTGTTAGGGCAATGGCCAGTGTTAGATCTGGAGACAACTCTGCTGCCCAGGAGCTGGAGAGCTCTGGCTGTGTTGGTGACTACAGGGCAGGTCAGAGGCTTTAGCTGTGAGCAAGCAAGTGCCACATGCCCAACTCGCTGCCCCCTCCTGGTGAGGCGTATCAGTCTGGTCCTGTCCTTGGAACCACCAGCATCCTCAGAGAAAATCTACACAGGGCCATACATTCCATAGAACTGCCATGCCAGGCCCCAGCGGGAGACTAGTGTGGGGCAGCCCTATCCACACCTTCACTGTGTCCCCTCCTCACCCCAGCACATCCTGTACTGCATTGTGGACAGTGAGTGCAAATCAAGGGATGTGCTCCAGAGCTACTTTGACCTCCTGGGGGAGCTGATGAAGTTCAATGTAGATGCATTCAAGAGATTCAATAAATACATCAACACGGATGCAAAGGTGAGACTCCTCTGTTCTATGGAATTGGCTGTGTTGCCCCAAGTTATATTGGATCCCTGATCCACCAGTCTCCAGGTGTGGGTTTTTAGGTGGAGAGTGTTGGGATTCAATGGGAGTCTTCAGCAAATGTTCACTAGTACTTACTGTGTCCCAGACCTTGGAACACAGGGATAAAATCCACTGCTACTTTGGGGTTGGGGGGTGAGAATGGGTCACAGGTTTTGGCAAGCACGAGCTGTGGAGAGTTTCCTCCGAGGGACCACCTCCTATGCAGACCAGATGTTCCTGCTGAAGCGAGGCCTTCTGGAGGTATGGCCTGGAGGAGCCAGGGTGCTGGGTGGCCCCCAGACATGGTGTGAGGTGTGGGGGCTGCAGTGGGAGACCCAGCACGGAGTACTGGGCCTGGAGTGTTAGGCTCTCTGGAGCGTGACAAACCCAGTTGAGACTAGTTGAAGTAGAATTGAGAGGAGCCAGCACCCTCAGTGCAGAATCACTGGGAAGTGTCCCAGAATCTTAGCAGCAGATGGGGAGAGCAAGTCACTCAGGTTGCCTGTCTAAAAAGCAGCAGGGCTGGGAGAGAGGATTGCTGATGTCTGTGGTGGCGACTGCTCACCCTGGGCCATAGCCAGCTTGGCCAGCAACCACTGCCTCTCCTGAGTGCCATCTCCCCTCTAGTTCCAGGTGTTCCTGAAGCAGATCAACAGTTCCCTGGTAGACTCCAACATGTTAGTACGCTGTGTCACTCTGTCACTGGACCGATTTGAAAACCAGGTGGACATGAAAGGTGAGGAAAAGCCAGGGTTCCAAAGCAAATGGGTGCAGAGTGACTGCACTGGGGCTAGTCACCTGGCTTCCAGCCAGGTGATGGGATGATTGAAGCAGTTGCCCCAGACATAAAGTGCTTGACTGATTGGCTCAGCTGCTTTTGACTTTTTGCTGTTGGGTGTTTCATTTGATGAGCATGTACAACACTTTGATACAGGAGAAAAGCCATTATTGCCAGCAAAAATGTAAAAAAAAAAAAAAAACTTAACAAGAAAAGAAATAAAGAAAGAAAGAAAAGGAAAGAAAAAAAAAAAAAAGAAAGAAAGAAAGAAAGAAACCCACCTTTCTCTTCTGGGATGGGGTGAGTGGGACCCCTTTTCATCTGCCTCCCTGACTGTGTGTGTGGAGTGGTGGGGTGAGATGTAGCTGGGGTGGGTCTCACCTAGAATTGTGTGCACCATGCACATGTTTATGATTATGTGCATACATGTGCTTTTCTTTTCCTAGGAGAGTTTTTGGTGTCCAGCAGATTCTGAGAAATTTGTGAGCATATCCTCCAAAAAAGACAGTTGTCCCTTGTCATAGTCACTATCATTGATAGCAAGAAGCATCCTGGTGCTGGGGGTAGTGGTACACACCTGTAATCTCAGCTACGTAGCATACTGAGGCAAAGGATCATAAATTCAAGGCCAGCCTGTGCAACTTAGCAAAACCCTGTCTCCAAATAAAAAGGAATAGGGGTGTAGCTCAGTGGTCGAGCACTTGCCTAACAAATAAGAGGTCCTAGGTTCAACCCTCAGTATCATCCAAGAAACAAAACAGCATCCTGGTCATTTGGTAATTTAGCCATTTGCCTCCTATTTCTGCCCCTGAAGGATCTGTTTTAGGGGAATGGCTACATGGACTTTGGTACAGTCAACCATTGTACCCCTCACCCCATAGTGTGGGTTGCTATTTGCTCAGTGCTAATGTGTACTGTGACCTTGACAGTGGTCAGGGACATATGAGAGCTGTATGGGAAGCCAGTCACGTTAGGAGCTTTGAAATGATCTCAACTTTCCTTCACTGGTTTTCTTTTTTCTTTTTTTTTTTTTAAAGTAGACCGTGGGTCTACTTTCCTGTGGATGCACACTGTCTTGTGGAGAGGTGCCACAGGCTGCGGAGCAGGGCTACTTCTGAGCGTCATTCTGAAGGACCAGATGGGGTTCTGAGAACACCGGCTGTTTAGCCAGGTGGTGGAACAGCTGCTCCAGCAGCTTTTCTTGTAGCTGTTCTGGTGAGATGCTACTGGTTGCAGTGTCAGGACCTAATGGGAGCTCAAGCAGAGGTATAGGTGGCCTGGCCACTGGACCTGAGCCTGCTGCTACACTTGTGCCTCCCTCCACAGTGGCTGAGGTCCTGTCCGAGTGCCGCCTGCTCGCCTATATATCCCAGGTGCCCACCCAGATGTCCTTTCTCTTCCGCCTCATCAACATCATCCACGTGCAGACGCTGACCCAGGTGAGAGGCCCCACCGATGGGCAATCAGAGAAGGAGACTAGAACCCATTTCCCTCTTCCTGGAGTGCAGCATATTTGCTTCTCCCACCCTCACTCTAGAAGTGCACTCTTCCCAGGGCTTTGCCCAGTGCCCCAGTTTACAAAAAGGGCCTGAGATCAGTTGACTTGTCAGGGCACAGTCAAGACTGGCACAATGTTCTGTTGACTCCCATTCCAGTGCTCTTCCCCAGCATCCCACATCTACACCCCTCTAGCTATGCCGGCTGTGGAATTGGACCAGATTGCCCTCAACTCCCTCAGTGTAATGTGGCTTTCCCTTCTTCAAGCTTCACACCTGTTTTCCAAAGTGTGGGCTATACAAGTACCTGTCAGAGGTGGTTCTTTTGTTCTGTCGTCTAACAAATGCAGGGAAGCTGGGCACACAGTCTAGTGTGTAATGTAGGTTCTAAAGTGAGACATTTGCACCTAGTATGCAGACCCATCCCTGCCAGGTGATTAAAGTTTCCAGAAGAGGTGATGTTCAAGCTGAGATCTAGATGAGCACAGATGTTGCTGCCATAAGGGGGGCATGGGGAATAGGAACATGCTTGGGAAGGGGCAGCTCTCCAGAGGGGGAGACCCATGGCTCTGCAGGTTCACCAGAGGGCGCTGGGACTGCTGGCATGCACCCAGCTCAGCTGCCTTTGGCTTTGCAGGAGAACGTCAGCTGCCTCAACACCAGCCTGGTGATCCTGATGCTGGCCCGGCGGAAAGAGCGGCTGCCCTTATACCTACGGTTGTTACAACGCATGGAGCACAGCAAGAAGTATCCCGGCTTCCTGCTCAACAACTTCCACAACCTGTTGCGCTTTTGGCAGCAGCATTACCTGCACAAGGACAAGGATAGCACCTGCCTGGAAAATGTAAGTGCTCCACCTCCGAGTGTGTGGGTGGTGGGCATGCAGACCCAGGGCCTGTGAGGGGCATCCAGGGCTCAGTTCCTGGCCAGGATGTGGGGCAGGCTTTTTGTCCCCTTACCAAGACCCTCCCTGTGGGGTGCTGGAGTTGGCCTGTGTCCTACAGGAGCTCCCCACAACCCCTCTCTTTTTGCCCAGAGTTCCTGCATCAGCTTCTCATACTGGAAGGAGACAGTGTCTATCCTGTTGAACCCAGACCGCCAGTCACCTTCTGCCCTTGTCAGCTACATTGAAGAGCCCTACATGGACATAGACAGGGACTTCACTGAGGAGTGACCTTTGGCCAGGCCTCGGGAGGCTGCTGGGCCAGGGTCGGTATGGGTGAGGGTGGCTATGTGTGCCACACACCTTGCCTGTTCCTTGAGCCTCCCCTGCCTCCCTGCCACTCTCTGCCTGCCCCAGGTCTTTAGGCACAGGCTCAGTGGGAGGAAGCATCCTGGAAGCCCTGGGCCTCTGGGTCTGAGAGCCTCAGTCATTGGGGAGCCTCAGTTCCCTGACAGTTCACAGATGAGGACAAGGGCACCATGCCCACCCTTCCCTTATAACCCTGGGACTCTTGGCCTGCCCAGAGGAAGGAAACTTACAAAAAGAGCTCTGAGCTCCTGCCGGGTCTCTTAGCTGCCAGTCCTGGGTTAGGGAGGAGATGGGGTTCCCCCATGTATGAGCCAAGCCTCCCCTGTCCTCAGGCAGAGGCTCCTGGACAGGGTTGGGGGTACCAGAGAATGCTGCCTTCCCTCAGGCCTACCCATCTGTCCTTCCCTCGTCTTCCTTCAACTCCTCTGGTTCTGTTTGCTCATTGGCCGCTGTGTCCATCCCAGGGGGTTCCTCCAGAAGTTGGGGGGCCTTTTCTCTCTATCCCTTGGGGCACAGGGTGGCTGTGCCTGCCCTGCCCTGCCCCAGAGCAGCATCTCCTGCCTGAGCCCAGACACAGGAGCTTGGCTGGGAACTCACCCTTGGCCCCTCCTGTGTTGCCAATTTATTAACAGCAAATAAACCAAGTAAATGGAGACTATTAAAGAACTTTATTTTAAATGACTGATGTGGACCTGACTTTGTCCATGGGACTGTGTTCGCTTCCACTGAACCCCGAGAAATGAGAACAACAGCTGTTGCTGCAGACGTGGCCTTTATTTAGGGTGATCCAGAGCTTGGGGAAGTTGGAGTGACAGCCAAAGGGGGTGAAGAAACCACGGGACAATAGACATCCTTCTTCATAGCCCAGGGGCTCGAGACTCAGGCTCTCACTCCTTGTGCTAAGAGGTGAAGGAGGATGAGTGAGCTGTACCACCTGCTACCCCCAACCCATGCACCCCACATGGAAGGTGGTGCCCCTTGGAGACCTCACCTTGGGGCCCAGGGCATCCCTGGTCCGCGCCCGCAGCTTATTGGCCTGGGTCTCTGCCATGTCAGCCCGCTCCTCCGCATCATCCAACTCATGCTGGGCCTTGCGATACTTAGCCAGGTTGGTGCTAGCCTGCTGCTCCTAGGGGTATACACAGGGCCTTGGTTCCCCTTTAATAGTAACAAATGGTCATTCTGGTCCCCACCCATCCCCAGAAGGAACGGGCTTCTCCTATTCTTCGACTCTACCTACCACTAGCCTCCCCCAGCACCAGGACCCACAGCAGGAAAAAAGACATAGAGACTACATCAGGAGGTGCCAGAGTGCCAAACTGCCCAAGAGAGGCAGCTCCCAAACCTAGCCAGGGGAAAGCACACAAGGCTAGCGACAGCTTGGTCTAGTCCCTTCTGGAACTTTCAGGAAATTCTCTTCCTGCAGGGGGCAGGGTGGTCATTAAGTTCAGGAATGGGAAAGCCTGCTGATGCCTCACCTGACCACAGGCCCTGGGGCACAGTTGAAAATGGGTTACCTCGGCATCTGACAAGACCCCGGTGTGCTTACCGCCTCCTCAAACTGGCGCTTGTAGCTCTTGACTTTGCTCTGCAGCTTGTCTACCAGGTCCTGCATGCGAGCCAGGTTCTTCCTGTCCTCCTCGGCCTGGGCAGGCAAAGGAGACTCTGTTTGCCTGGATTGGGCCAACTCCAGGGCCACCCCACAGGATGGACCCCCTCACCCACCTGGTACACAAGTTCCTTGACCCGGCGCTCATGTTTGCGCACACCCTTGAGGGCCTCAGCATGCTTCTTCTGCTCTGCATCAAGCTCGGCCTCCAGCTCCCGCACCTGCAGAGACAGCCAGCGAGTTGACCTGCGGGCAGTTCTCAGCTGCCTGCCCACCCACCCTGTTGGGGAAGGACAGTGGGGCTGCACACACCTTGGCCTCCAGCTTCTGCACCTGCTTCTTCCCACCCCTGAGGGCGGCCTGTTCCGCCTCCTCAAGGCGTGCCTGCAGCTCCCGCACCGTCTGTTCCAGAGTCTTCTTCATCCGTTCCAGGTGTGCACTTGTGTCCTGCTCCTTCTTCAGCTCCTCAGCCATCATGGCCGCCTATGAGGGAGGAGGTGGCATGGTCAGGAAGTGACCAGCCCAGGGAAGATCCTTTGGCCTCTGCTCCCGCCCTGCCCCAACATAGCCCTGGCCCAGTCTCACATCAGTAATGGCCTTTTTGGCCTTCTCCTCAGCCTCCCGCCGCTCCTGAGCAGCCTCCTCTACCTCCCCGCTCAGCTGGGCCAAGTCCACCTCTAGCTTCTTTTTCTGGTTCAGAAGCCCCGTGTTCTAAGGGGAAGCAGAGTTTCAGCTGGCCAACAGGCCTCTGACCCCTCCCCAGTCCCGGTGGACATCCTTGTCCAGACCCCACCTGTGAATGGAGGAGATTGAGGCGCTCAGTGGCCTCCAATAGTTCCTGCTCTGCCAGCCGCCGGCTGCGTTCGCCCTGTTCCAGGGCAGCCCGCAGCTCCTCCAGCTCTGCAGCCAACAACGCTGTGCGGCGCTCCAGGGCCTGTGCCTGCTCACGGAGCTCAGCAGCCAGCCGCTGCTCCTCATCACGCCCTGCTTGTTCCTCCTTGAGTTGGGCCTGCAGCAGTCGCGTGGCTGCCTGTGCCTCCATAGCCTGGCGGGTGGCATGGCCCAGCTGCAGCTCCAGGTCATTGAGGTCACCCTCCATCTTCTTCTTAAGCCGTAGCGCCTCATTCCGGGCCCGCGTCTCTGCATCCAGGGAGGCCTGCAGGGACTCCACTGCACGCTGATGGTTGCGCCTGTGGGAGGGCAGGCAGAAGGGCAGGCTCGGCTCATGGAGAGGCAGGTGCGGAGCATGCTCTCACAAATGCCTAAGGATTGCTGGAGATATGAACCCTTGGGTAACAATTGTCCCTCCCAGTAGTAAAACCCCTTGGGGCTGCCTATTGTCCACCGAAGCAGGCTCACAGACAGAAGTGAGGTCCTGAGACAGACATGGACTGGATTCTGGCTCTACCCCACTATGTGATCTTGGGACAGTCTTCAGCCTGATGGAGATTTAACCTTTGAAATGGCGAGAACAACCCCAACCTGAGAAAGCCATGATGCAGAGACAGACTAGATGCCTGGGCCATATGCTACCACGGGCATAGCAACACTGCTTTCCACCACTGCTCTGCTCTCAGGAGGCTGGGAGGAGGGGTACAGACCTCAGGTTAGTGCACTCCTCATCCTTTTCTGCCAGCTTTCGATCCACTTCTGCCTTGACCTGGGACAGCTCCAGCTGGATCCGCAGTGTCTTAGTCTCCTCCAGTTCCAAGGCCCCCTGGGAATGCATAGTAGGCAGTATGGGGTTGGGGCCAGGAGTGAGTGTTCAGGAAGCAGGGAGACATAGGTCAGCATCCACCCACCCCTGTAGCCAGTCCTGACCTCAGCCTCCTCCAGTGCTGCCTGCAGCTCACTCTTCTCCCCTTCCAATGCCTTCTTGGCTTTTTCTAGTTCCTGGATGCTCTTCCCGTTGAGGCTGACCTGGTCTGTGAGGTCACTGATCTCCTCTGCAGAATGGAGAGGGTGCTAAGGAGCACCCCTGGGCTAGCACCCCAACCCAGGTCACTTTCTACGCTCCTAATTCCAGTGTAACCCTAAGATGCTTCCAACTCCACGTCCTACCCTGTAGATTCTTGTTCTCCCTCTTGAGTGTCTCCAGAGCCTCAAGTGCCTCCTCGTGGCTATGGCGTAGCCGAAAGAGCTCTGTGCCTAGGCCACGGGCCTCCCTCTGTGCCGCCTCCAGCTCCCGCTGCATCTCCTCCTCCTGTCGCCGCCGCTCCTCCAGGGCCCTCTCCAAGTGCCGCTGCTTCTTGTCCAGTGCAGCAGCTGCTGAGGTTGCCCGCTCCAGCTCCAGAGTCACATCCTCTGACTCCGTCTGCAGCCGCAGCTTGGCCTTCTCCAGTGATGAACACTTGGCATTTGCAGCCTCTACACCCTCTTCTGCCTCCTGTAGCCGCAGGGCCAGCTTCTTTCTGGACCATGGACAAGACAGGGTGTGAACTATGGAGGGAGGAGGCCAGCAGAAGAAGGGCCCTAGTATCTCCCCTTACCCCCTGCTGGCCCCAAGGCACAGGCATAAATGTGGTGATGGCCTAGCCACCGGATGCTCACTTGGCCTCTTCCAGCTCCTCAGTCCTTTGGATGGCATCTGCCTCATACTTGCTCCTCCACTGGGCCACCTCAGCATTGGCCTTGGATAGCAGCCGCTGCATCTCAGCCTGGGCCTCAGCCTCCTCCTCATGCTGTTCCCGTAGGAGGTCACAGTCATGTCGCAAAGCCTGCACAGCATGGGCCAGCGCACTCTTGGCCTGGAGGGACATGGAGGGCCTCAGCATCAGTCCATGCTGATGGCCCCAGCATCCACCTGCCCACTCCACAATCACTGATGCCAGCTCACCTTGCTCTCTTCCTCTAGCTGCCTCCGCAGTTCCTCCAGGCTCTGGGCAGCTGAGGCCTTCCCACGGCTCAGCTGGCTGATCAGAGACTCCTTCTCCTCCAGCAGGCGGCCCAGCTCCCCTACAGACAAAGGGGCAAGCAGGCAGGTCAGGTGGTACCTAGGTCCCACCCAGTGTGGCCCAGCTGAACCCTGACCTCACCATTCTCAGTCTGCAATCGCCCACGCTGGGTGTTCACATCCACCAGTTGCCGCTGCAGCTCCTCCACCTTGATCTTAGCCTCACTTAGCTGATCCTCATAGGCCCTGCACAGTTTCTCTGCACTGGCCTGGAAGCCAGAGTTAGGGGACAAGATGAGTTTGTGCACCTGAGGGCAGGATCTAGAGCTTCCAGTCAGAGACTGGGACCTGGCATCAGGAACTAGAAAGCTAGATATGGGCCCAGGATTCAGGGGAGATCAGAGATTCACCGTCAGGGTCAGGGGTTCTGTTGCTAGGCTCAGAGCTTAACTAAGGTCTTGGAGCGAGAGGGCTGGACCAATCTCAGTGCAAATGGGTCAGGTGGACATTAGGATACTAGATCTGGTGTCAGCCAAGGACAGTCACCAGAGATCAAAAGTTCACAAGTCAAAGTTGGGTGCTGGGTTCAGAATAGGAGAATCATGACCAGTGTCAGTTCAGAGTTCAGGAATCAAAGGCTGAGGTCACAGCGACTATTGGGTCAAGGGTCTGAGGTCAGAATTGGAAGCTGGGTCAAAATGTTCTGGTGCCATCAGAATAGGGATGAGGAACCAGGGTTTGACATCAGGTCTGATAGGGAAAGGTGGAATGCCAGGTTAGTGGGTCCAGGGTCAGATTCAGGGTGAAGGCTGCTGTGGGGTCAGTATTGGCATGGGGTGGCCAGGGGTCAGAAGGTGGAGTCAGCTGCTGGAGTCAGACCTGGTTTAGAGTCAGGATGGGCCAGGGGTCCCAGGTCAGAGTGAGGAAGAAGGTTCATACCTTGCCTCGGGCCAGAGTCTCCACGCTGGCACCCAGATCGTCCACCTCCATGCGCAGCTCGCTCTTCTCCTTTTCCAGCTTTTGCCGTATCCGCTGCAAGCTATCCACCTGTTCTCCCAGCTCAGCTGCACCATCTGCCTGCTTGCGCCGCAGGGCTGCCACTGTGGCCTCGTGCCTCAGTGCCGCTTCCTCCAGTTCCCTCCGGAGCCGGCCCAGCTCAGCCTCGCGCTTGCGGCAGCCCTCACGCTGCCCGGCCGAGGCACCACCAGCTTCCTCGAGTCGTTCACTCAGCTCTTCCAGCTCCCGAGCCGCTTCTGCCCGCTGCTTTTCCACCCGGGCCCTGGCTGCACGTTCAGCCTCCAGCTCTTCCTCCAGCTCCTCCGCCCGTGCCTATGTCAGTAGGTAGGTGGTGACATCAGCTTGGTGGGCCTCTGACCTGGGCCTGGACTAGCTGCCCACCCTCCCCCATGCACCTGCAGCTCCTTGATCTTCTTTTGCAGCTGGGTGCCCAGGAGCTGCTCGTCTTCCACCCGCAGGTTCAGCTGACTCAGCTCTGAGTCCTTCCTGGGATCAGGGGGTGGGATAAGCCAGTTAAGGCCCTGTCATCCACCTGAATGGGGCCCCCCAACCTCCAAGCAACCTCCTCCCCTGAAGCTCTAAGGGCCTCATTCCTGTGCACCTACTGCCCTCATCCCTGAACCACGAAGGGCAGGCCACTACCTCTGCCCTCGTGACCCATTTCTCAACCCCACCCCCCACACTCACTGAACCCCCACAGTAACAGGATTGAGAGAATCCAGAAGGGAAGAACCTGGTCAGGCCCCACACCTACTTCTTGAGCTTCTCCTCCAGCTGCTGCTTGTCCTGCGTAGTATCTGTCACCGCCTCCTGTGTCAGCTTCAGGTCGCCCTCGAGCTTGCGCTTGGCCCGCTCAGTGTCCATGCGCAGCTTCTTCTCCTGCTCCAAGGAGCACTCCAGCTGTGGAGCAGGCAGGGCTCAGCCTCAAGCCAGCCAGTACTTGCCCACCCACCCCACGGCCCTCCGCAGCCCTAACTCACATCCTCCACCTGCTGCTCCAGCCGCAGCTTGGCCTTGGCCAGGGCACTGACACGGTCCTCCTCAGCCTGTAGGTCGCCCAGGGCCTGCTGGTGGGCCTCCTGCAATGCCTTCTTCTCCTTGGTCAGCCGGGCCACTGATTCATCCAATGTGGCCATCTCCTCTGTCAGGTTCTTCACCTGTGCCAGGGCCAGGGTCACCAAGGGGACATCCCTCGCCATACTCTCGTCTCAGCAGCCACCACCCACCAACTGCCCCTTCCAGCTGAGGGGTCAGACAAGTCACTTCACTGTGAGCCTTCCTCAGGCTGAGTGGAGAAATTAATGGGCGAAGATCACTGAGCCCTGAGCACAGTGCACAGCCCAGAGTAAGAGACTGGGCCATGTCAGCTGATTGTGGTGTCCACAGGTATTTGAGCTGTTCCTGATCCTATCCTGGTCTAGTTGTAAGCACCTGTGAGAACCTGAACACGCACCCTCCACCCCCAGCCTCACTTTCTCCGCTGTATAATGAAGTCAGTATGATGTATAATGAAGGCTGTGAACCACCATTGTGCACATAAGTGATAGAAGCCACATCAGGGGTGTGACTGGGGGTATGGGCTCCTGCTATCCAGGTCTCAAGGTCCTGGCTGAATGAAAATCACTAGCACTTGCAGAGTACCTAGTGTGTGAAGCCCTGTGGAGTATGTTTGGTGAAGGCCATTGACAAGCTGAACCCTCGGCTACCCTAAATGAGGTAAGTTCTGTTAACCATCTGACCGATGAGGAAACGAGGCCCACAGAGGCAGTTACCTGCCCCAGATTACACAATAGAGGACCAACAGAGTCAGGAGGGGGCCTGAGGCTGCCTGGTCCCCATTGGTCCCCAGGCTGAGGCCCTTCCCCACAGCTGACCCTGCCCACACCTTGTTCTCAGTGGCTTGCTTTTCTTTCTCAGCCTTGGCCAGAGTCAGCTCCAGGTCATCAATGTCCTTCTTGAGCTCTGTGCATTCATCCTCCAGCTTGCGCCGGCGAGCCGCCAGGTCGGCGTTCACCTCCTCCTCATCCTCCAGTCGCTCATTCAGCTCCTTCACCTTCGCCTCAAGCTGCACCTTGGACTTGATCAGCAGGTGGCAGCGCTCCTCAGCATCTGCCAGGTTCTCCTGCTCCTGGAGGGGACACAGAGTGAAGCCAAGCTGACGCAGGGCCAGCTGAGGCAGGACCAGCCAGGCCATTTGTTTGTCCATGAGGTTTGACATCCACACTCAGCTGGGCCCTGAAAACCAAGGCCTTGACCTGCTCTTGTTCCTAGTGAGGAGAGGGGCAGAAGTGGCACCATGAAGAAAGTGACATTCCACAGGCTGGGGCAACCCATGGAGTGAGGCCTAAGAAGCACTCTAGGAGGAAAGCCCACTGCCCACACCCACAAGCTGGGCTAAGGCCTCGAGGGGTGGGCTGGGCAGTGTCAGGCATGTGGAGCCCTGCATGGCCGCACAGGGCTCCTGCAGACTGTCCTTGAAGGGGCTCTGTGTTGTCTCCCTGTTTCCTCGCTGCCTGGCTGCATAACCATCTCCGGCACTACTGATGACCACGGGGCTCTCCAGTGCTAGCCTGGGGCTGGCAGCAGCAATACTCAAACTCAGTGCTAAAGGAAGGACAGTTTGTGCTATGTGCCTGGAGAGTTTCCAGACCCTTGGTCCCTACCCTCTGATTAAGGCCCTGTCACTACCACCTGGGTGCCTATGGCCAGATAAGGGAGCGAGGTTCCATTTCAGGGGCAGCAAGGAAGTGAAAGCTGGGGAGACCACTCCTCTGCAGCTTCAGGGGTGAGGGCTTTAGGACACAGGGACAGACAAGGCCTGCTGATGGGGGGGGGGGCCTCATTACATGGCACCTTCAGAGTAGGGAGAAAGACCCAGGTTAAGACCTGAGCATCCAGAGCATTCCAGGGCCACCCTGGATTTGGATTTTGGGGGGTGTTTCTTCAGAGGAGCCTGGGGTTCTCAAAGTGCCAAGAGACACCAAGTCAATAAGGGGACTCCCTCATCCTCTCCCCACCCCACCTCCACTCACTGCCTGTAGCTGCAAGGCCAGGTCATTCTTCTCCTGGGTGACACTGACATGAGTCTCTTCCAGCTCCTGGCGCTTAGCCTCAGCAGCAGCGAGTGCCCCTCGAAGCCCCCGCAGCTCTGCTCGCAGGGCCGCCAACTCCTCCTCAGCCTGTGCTGAGCGCAAGAGTGGCTTCATCTTGAAGAAGAGCTTCATCCATGACCAATTCTTGACAGCATTGAAGGCACGGATGTTCCACTGGATGGTGAACAGGGCATCCCTGGGGAGAGGCAGCCCCTGTGAAACAGGCCCAGTACTGCCCACTTCAAGGTGTGACTGAAGTTGTTGGAGCATCCCACTAAGACTGTGTTATCACATCTAGTCTTCCTAATGGTCCTGTGGAGTGGGTCCGTACACCTCTGCAAAAGGGGCAAAGACGAAGGGGCAGCCCAAGGCCCCTCAGGCCTGCCTCCAGGAGGTGCTCATGAGCAGCCTCTGCAAGAGTTCAAAGGCAGCAGAGGGGGCTCAGCCACCAGGCTGTGGGGTCTGCCGCCTGGGTGTACTGCCCAGCACTCACTGGCTCTTTACTGGATCTGCCTTTTCTGCTGAGGGGGTAGAGGTAATCACAGCACCTACCTCTTAAGACTGCCTCAAACTTTAGTCAAGAAAATACAAATAAGGTATCTGTCCTGAGGCCTAGAAAACACTGAAAGCCATTCTGACTTCTCCAAGCCCTGACTCCAGTGGTGTGCAGTGGAGTGGCAGGTGCTCTCAAATCTGGAGGCATGGAAATGGAGGCTGGGGGTTGGGGGCACAGAACAGATCCTCACCCCAACAAGCCATAGGAAGGGTAACTTGACCACAAGGCAGCATGACAGGGCTGTAGAGCCTGGTGGTTTTGTGAACCAAAGGACAGTGGTCACACCCACCATCCTGTCCTCATCCCTTGTCTCATACCCACCTGCCTCCCAGCATGCGCTGGTACTCAAGTCTCATGAGGCGACCCCGGCTCCGTGCCTGTAGCAATGTCAGCACCTTGGCCAGGCGCTGATCACGGAGCTCCTCTAGGACACCTAGAAGCCCAGCCTTGAAGAACACCTGGAGGTGGAGGGGACAGCCAGGTGTGACTCCTGCCCAGTGTGACCCCCACACCCAGGGTCAACCCCAATTCCATTGTGCCTGGACCTTGGTGTGGCCAAACTGGTACTGGGTGTGTTCAATGTCCAGTGAGCCCAGCAGCTTCTCTGTGGCCTTCCTGCTGTCCATGAAGGTGTCATCTGGGATGGCACTGGGATTTAGGATGCGGTACCTAGGAAAGCAGAGGAAGGCTGGTGAGGAGAGGATGGGACACAGGCTACTGAGAATGGGGAAGCCAAAGACAGAGAAAGAGACTGGGTAGCAGGGAACCATTCCTTGCCTTTCAGGAGTGGAAGCAGAAGTTCCAGAGAGGCACACTGAACAAGGCGGCAGGGAAAGTAGTGCCACATTGCGGGGCTGGGCACGTTCTGTTTGAAACCCTCAGGAAGTTCTTTAAGAGGATGGAGTTTTGACAAAAGATATCTGCTACTTTTATAATTATTCTAAAGCCAAAAAATTAAAAGGTGACATCCTGTACCACATCACAAAACTGAAAAAATTTTTCTTGAAATGAGTAAGGGGCTAGGCATGGTAGTGTATACCTGTAACCCGAGTGATTCAAGAGCCTGAGGCTGGAAGATTGCAAGTTCGAGGCCAGTTTCAGCAACTCAGTGAGGCCCTATGCAACTTAACAAGATCATCACAAAATAAAAAATAAACAGGGCTGCAAGCCGGGCGTGGTGTGTATGCCTGTAATCCCAGCAGCTTGGGAGGCTGAGACAAGAGGATTGCAAGTTCAAAGCTAGCCTTGGCAATGACGAGGAGCTAAACAACTCAGTGAGACCCTGTATCTAAATAAAATACAAAATAGGGCTGGGGATGTGGCTCAGTGGTTGAATGGCCCTGGGTTCAATCCCTGGTACCAAAAAAATTTTAAAAAGCAAGGATTCCCAGCAAAACCATTTCTTAAATGGATACCTGTACACATGCATAGAGGGCCACGTGGGCTGTAGCCCTTCACTCAGTGGACTCACTAAATAAAGCACACGATTCACTAAACCATGGGATGTTATACAGCCCAAAACAAAATATGATGCAGCCTTATGCTGCTGATAAGGAACAATCTTCAAGACTGGCAGCTACATGAAAAACAAACTGTGTGAGAGCTCCTGCGCCAGCACGGACAGTGTTTGATTGGACATCCTTTACAAATGACTATGTGGATGCCCACAGTTACTTCTAGAAGAGGAAAGAACTCTAGATACTTGTAGTCTAACAAAATCAAATCTATGGAGGGAAGATGGAAGGGAGCTGATGGCAGTGACTGAGCGCTCACTGCATCAACCATCATGAAGTCCAGCTCTCCTGAGCTCCAGAAGAATAAAGCAAACCTCCTCCTTGACTTCTCTTCTGCTGCATACATTTTCAACTTGACATGCTCAAAGCAGAGTTCAAACCATTACCCTGTCACTCCCCAAAATCAAAATGCCCCGCCTTTCATCTTTCATCAACTTCCCAATTGCTCAGGCCCCAAACCTGGGAGGCACCATACTCTTTCCTTTTTCTTCCTTACTCTGTATCCTAGTCATTGTCAAGGCCTGTTGGCTCCATCTCCCATATTTACCCCAAGTCAACTCACTTCTCTCCCCAGGCCCCTCCCAGGTCTGAGCCACCACAGGGAGGCCTGCCCAGCCCCTCACTGTCCCCGGTCTCCTCTTCAGGGACTGGAACAATCATTTATCCTTTAGGCTCTATGAAAGCCTTTCCTGCAGCATCCACCTGGAACTGAAATCAGGGGAGGACAGCAAGGGTGGACTGGAGAAGGAGCCAGGCAGGGCCAAGGGCCACCCACCGCTGCCTGAAGTCAGCATAGAGCAGCCTGTTGGGGAATCCTTGGCGGCAGATGCGGATCCCCTCCAGGACCCCATTGCAGCGTAGCTGGTGCAGCACCAAGAAGGCATCCATGACCCCTGGACGTGGTGGGGAAAAGGGAAAGGTCAGAGGTCTTGGGATCTACTTCAGGTATCACAGAGAATAGTATAGGCCCAAGGTTTGAGGCCTATAAGACCCTGCAAGGTGAGGGGGGAAGACTGGCTTCCCTTCTCCAGTGTCCCCCACATACCCAAGCCAGCTCTGGGGATACTACCTGGGGTCTTGTTCTCGTTGGGGACAATGCAGCGAACAAAGTGGGGCTGTGTGGCCCGCAGGTTGGTCATCAATTTGTTGAGGTTCTCCTGGGAGTGGGGAGAGTGGGGAGAAGGTACAGAAGGCAGAGAACCAGAACTGGATGCCACAGTGGATTGGGGCTGGAGAGGGCTGGGCAGGGGTCCTAAATGTAGGACTGGGAATGCAGTTCAGTAGTAGGGCGTCTGCCTAGCATGCATGAGGCCCTGGGTTCGATCCCCAGCATGCCAAAAAACACATCAGAGGTACCTAAATGTGCCTGCACCTTTGTTCTTTCATTCCTGCTCTTTGTGGCTTGGTCCTCTCCCATCATCACAACCAAAGCCTCCACCCCGCAGATCCCCATCCCTCACAGAGGCCCGTGGCTCCCTCCCCTTTCCCCCAGCCCTGCCCAGGCAGCTTGGGGACGGGTAGCAGCACAGACTTGCTGTGATGTTCACGTGGAGAGGAGTTAAACATCACTGCAAGTCTTAACAGCCACCCGCCCAGGGCGCAGGGGACATGGCGGGGAACAGAGGATAGGCTGGAGGCTGGTGAGGGTGCGGGTTTGCACAGGGCCTACTCTGAGCCTCACCTTGTGCAGCTGGGACACCGTCTGGAATGATGCTGCCTTCTTGCGCTTCTCTTTCACCCCAGACTTTGGGGGCTCAGCTATTGAGAGACATGAGACCCAGTCACACACTCCAGAGAATGCCACTCTGTGGGCCCCTGTGGGAATGAAAAACTTGTCCCTCAGTACTCACTGGAGCAAGAGCCTGCATAGTTCTCATAGAGGGTGGCCAAGAGCCTGTTCTGTGACTTTTGAAATATGGGGACCACAGTCTCATTCAAGGGATCCTTGTTTTTCTCCAGCCAGCCCACAATGCTGTAAGGCACCTAGCAGAGGCAAGATGGGTGCTGAGCCAAGGCATGGGAACCCTGAGGAGGGCATGGCTGAGGGCTGCGATTCCAACAGGTACCTACCACGCCTGCATAGTGGACCACCTCAAAGTGGGCCTGGTACTTGCGCTTCTTGTCAGGCCGAGGCTGCTGGAAATTGGGTGATTTCCCTGCATGGTTGTCATAGAGCTTGGCCCGGAAGCTGGCATCAGAGGCCTTGGGGAACATGCACTCCTCCTCCAGGATGGACAGGATGCCCAGCGGCTGGGGACAGGGAACAAACTTGAAGCTCCAGTCCATCCTGGCTGAGCTGGACCCCTGTTCCCCAGACCACCTCCCTCTAGGAAGGCATTTCAGCCCAACCCATTTCAGATCCCACCTCCACCCCACAGATCCCCATCCCTCACAGAGACCAGACCCACTACTGGGAGCCCCACCTCCTAAGAGAGAAAAATAAAGTGTGAGTGTTGGCTTCTAACCGACTTATGCACAATTTACAACAACTGAATTTTGTTTGCTCATGATGTATATAAACCCAAACTGGCATCTCAGCTCCTCAACATCCATGACTCACACATTCTCATATGCAAATACATAATAAAAACCAGAGGCCACCAAGTTCACATGGCTTCCTCACTATCTGTGGGGACCTTATGCCTCACTAAACTTCAGCTTCCTAACCTATTAAATGGGAAAATGATCATCTTTAATGCCGATATAACAATAAAAGAAATCAATCATCAAAATGCCCAACAGTTGGGGATTAAATGAGAATCATGTGCTCCAGGACCTATTCTGTACAACAATATTCAAAATACATGTTCAGAGGAAAAGTAAGATATGAACTGAGTTTGTATCCATAAAGAAAGTAAATACTCAGGACAAAGGATTTGGAGGAAATTAACTCAAGGGCCAAGACAGGCTGTATTAAGTTGGAGGGAAACATTTTTAACTTTTTATTTATTTTGTTTTTTAAAAAATATTTTCAGTTGTAGATGGACACAATACCTTTATTTTGTTTATTTCATTTTTTTATGTGGTGGTGAAGATCAAACCCAGCGCCTCACACATGCGAGGCAAGTATTCTACCATTAAGCTACAGCCCTAGCTCTTACCCTTTTATTTCTAATATTTATTTCCAAATTTAATTTTACTCCATTCGAAACAATGGGGAAATATATAATGTTTCATAATTAAATAAACATGGAAATACTCTGTCCTGCGCAGGGCAATTCTGAGGACCCCGTGAAATTTTGGCTGCAAAATTATGTGCACCCAGGGTGGGTGTCATTGCCAACAGACTTTCATACTCGTGTTGCTCACACAAACCAACATGGATTCACATCCAATGCAGCACACCTACGCAAACTTTCCCACTCATATCTAAGTACACAGTCACAATCACACATGAATATGCTTACTTCAATGCAAAACTGCTCACGCACACTTACACAGGCTTTCTCACAAACAAGCACACACTCCCCTCCTTCCAAATTTAATTTTACTCCATTCGAAACAATGGGGAAATATATAATGAGGCCCCACCTTCTCAATGAGGTCAATGCAGGGCTGCAGGTCAAGGCCAAAGTCAATGAAGACCCAGTCAATGCCCTCACGCTTGTACTCCTCCTGCTCCAGCACAAACATGTGCTGGTTGAAGAACTGCTGCAGCTTCTCATTGGTGAAGTTGATGCACAGCTGCTCAAAGCTGTTGAACTGTGAGAGGGAGGCGGGCTCAGCTAGGGGATACAGAGGAACACACACAAGCTCGCCCTGCCCCCTCCCACCCACAGTGCCTCGCCTCAGAGAGAACAAAGCCAGGTGTGTGGGCCTATTCTCACCTCAAAGATCTCAAAGCCAGCAATGTCCAGGACCCCAATGAAGAACTGTCGGGGCAGCTTTGTGTCCAGTGTCTGGTTGATCCGAGACACCAGCCACCGAAACAGCCGGTCATAAGTGGCCTTGGCCAGAGCCCCCACAGCAAACACCACCTGGGGGGAAGAAGACTGGGCTGGGACCCGGTAAGGAGGGGATCCTGCCCAGCTGTCTCCAGGTGGGCCTCCACTCACCTGCTCCACACTCTGCCCCTTGGTCACATACTCATTCCCTACACGCACCCGGGGGTGCAGAAGGCCCTTGAGGAGGTCCCCACTGCTGACGCCCATCAGGTAAGCAGCCTTATCAGCACCTGGGAGGGCACAAGCATTGGATAAGAAAGGAGGACGACAACAATGTGGGCACTTGGCTCTACTGCCTCAGCCTGGGGTTAGGAGAAGGGTGGGAAGGGTTAAGTTCAGGGCCAGCACAGGGTCAGCCTCAGGAGGGTAAGGGTCTGGAGTTGAGTCAGGAGCACATAAGACTTAGGTCAAAGGTTGTGAACAAGAGTGAGGGCTAAAGATCACATAGGTCATGGTAATAGGGTCAATGTGAAGGCCAGGTCAGACCAGGGTCAGGGCCCCCTCACTCTCAGTGCCATCAGCCTCAGCCTGCTCCTCTCGCTGCTTCTGCTTGAACTTCATGTTGCCAAAGTGCAGGAGGGCACCCACGATCTTGTAGCAGGCACACTTCTCATCCACACTGAAGCCCAGGATGTCCATGGCATGCTAAGGGTATAGGGAACACAGAGGGTTCAGAGAAGTCGGGGCCCCTCCAGGGTCCCCAGGCACCGCCTGCTTAGAGTGCTCCCTGATCCCTACCCAGCCCACACATTCATGAGGCCCCACAGCACAGGCACTCTGCTCAGCTCCCCTGCCCAACAGCCCATACGTCTGTGGCGATGAGTTCCTCTCCATCGTCCATATTATCCACGGTGATGACACCCTGGCTGCAGAAATGGTAGTCGTAGGGGTTCATTGACAGAAGCAGCATATCTGTGGGCACAGGGAGCAAAGGGCAGATCAGGCTACATCCACCAGGCTGCTCTCCCTCCCCGATCCCAGCATGACAGACCTTAGGGGGTCCAGCCAGCAGCAGTCTAGGGCCCTCCCAGGATTGGCCTAGAGCCTGTTTCTGATCCCCAACCCCATACCTTCTTTTTATTTGTTCAGTTTTTTGTTTGTTTGAGTACTAGAGATTTAACCTAGGGCCTTGTGCTTGTTAGGCCAAGAGCTCTACCATGGGGCTACACCCCAGTCCCTTTTATTAGTTTTGTGTGCGTGTGTGTGTGTGTGTGTGTGTGTGTGTGTGTGTGTGTGTGTTTTAATTTGGGGGTATTCTCTTTATTTATGTTTCACTGAGGAATGAACCCCAGTCCCTCATGGCCATCCCTCTGGCCCAAATTCCTAGTGCCGGGACACAGGGAAGACCAGATTCTGCCCTCAAGGAGCTTATAAAGGAGGGAACTTATGAATGGTCACTGGGTCCACTGAGGCATAGATCAGGGGACTTCAATCTCAGGAGGGACTTCAGTTTCTCACAACACTGCCAGGACAATGGAACTATGAGGCCTGTTGCCGGCACAGGAAAGAGAGAACTCGGTAATAACCAGAAGGCCCAGAAAGGAGTGAGGGACAGAACAGGCTCTAATACCCAGGAGGGAACAGCCATCCCAGGGGCTGGCCTGCTGGGGTCCAGGAAGGGCCAGGGAGTCCCTTTGGGTTATGACTCCTCCCCTCCATCCCTGGCCCTCACCCTGAAGCTCTGGCTTCTTCCCAGAGAGGATCTGGTAGTAGATGTGGTAGCCACGCTCACCAGGCAGTTGGAAGATCACTCGAGATTTCTCTAGGAGATCTGAAGAAAGGGACACTGACCTTCCATCTCCTACACCTCCCCAGAGCAGACACTCCGAGGGGACAAGGGATAGGGAGGAAGTGACAGTGAGGCACAAGGGGTGTGTAGGGTTGCTGTGTCCACACACAGGTCTGCATGTGTTGGGAGGGTCTCTCTCCGTCAGCGCCTGTGTCACTCTGTGGGATGTGTGTCTATTTGCACCTGTGTATCTCTGGCCAGATGCATGAATGTGTGTTCTCATGAGTGGGTGTGTGAACATGTGTGTCTGTGTATGGATTTCTATTTGTGGTGGTTAGTCTGGGTGTGCTTATCTATCAGATTTGACATGCATCCAAAGCAGTCAGCACAAGGACTCTCCTGTGGTGTGAACCATTTGTGTGGCCCAGGCATGGTGTCTGGGTAACTGGACTGCGTCAGAATGAGCAACCACCCAGAGAGGTGTTAGGAGCATCCCAGCAGGTTTTCTGGAAGGGTGGGAGACATGTCGACATGAGGCTAAGGCAGGAGGAACAGAGGGCAGGCGTACCCTATCAGGGGCCATGGACAGGGCAGGATGCAGGCAGAGGCCAAATCACAGTGGCCTTACTGGCTAAACAAGGATTTGGGTCTCCACCTTCAGATAACAGGATTGGGGGAAGGTTTTGAAGCAGGAACAGGTTAGGATCAGAGAGACTGCGGCTGGAAGACCAAGCAGAGGAGTGAGGCTGGGAGCCCCTAGGGAAGCTGGTGTGACATTGTGGTGAAAGTAGGGTGGCCTGAAATGGACAGTGGTCTGATGATGGAGCAAAATACCTAGGACAGGTGGAGCCCAGTGGACTTGAGAGGGATGCTAAGTCTGAGTGGAAAGGCTCAAGCCAGCTCTGTCCCTCCCCACCCCACCCCTCCTCTCACCCGGACTCACAGCTGTCAATATCCGCAGAGGCCAGCTTCCCAGAGGGACCAAAGTGAATGCGGATGAACTTGCCCTGCAGGCAGAGGGGCTGCCCTGAGCCAAGGGGCTCAGCCGGTGTTGCCCAACCCACTGAAGCTCCCACCACAGGGATCCTCCTGGCTGCTGATCTTCCTCTACCCCCAGCCACCCATCACCCACTCCCATCGCAGCCACTCACAAAGCGGGAAGAGTTGTCATTCCTCAGGGTCTTGGCATTGCCAAAGGACTCCATGGCAGGGTTAGCCTCAATGATTTGATCCTCAAGGGTGCCCTAGTGTGGGGCAGGGATGAGGGATCTGTCAGTCCGGGGCCTGCTGACTGGGAAGGCAGGGCAGCCCATGGACCCTCTGGCTGTGAAGGGGGGTCCTCAGGACCTCATCATTGTTGACCCCTCACAGTGGCCCCCATACTTACCCCAGTCTTTGTTGCCAGAAATTGCTGGATGTGGGGAGAAGAAATATAATATTAGAGGATGTGAGGTCTCACCAGGTGTTGGGGGAAGGAAGAGTTAGGAGGACAGTGAACGTTAGTCACCAAATATTCACAACAGTGAATGCAGCTCCCCCCCGCCCCGCCCCATAGCTTGGCTCCCTGGGCTGTTAGGAGGATGTTAGAAAGGCTAAGTGGGCACAGTCCTAGCTAGCAGCTTCAGGCAGGGGCTGTATTAGGGTCTCCTCCTCACAGCCCATTCCCTCCCCTGTCCAGAATTCCCTCATTTTCCATGCCTATGCAGTGCTGCCCGTCCCAAGCCCTAGGGGCTCCTGACTAAAATCTACTCCACTTCAGAGGCCAGCCAAAGTGCCCCCTCCTGCAGGAAGGCCTCCCTGATGCTCTGTGGTGGGGAGAGACCACTTTCCTGCTCTGAACCTTCTTACCCTAACCTCCTGATGACCCTTCTATACACTTCTTTGTACTGTGATTAGGTGTGTTTTTATTATATTTTCTACATCTATTATTATTCAAAATGGCCCTACCAGGCACACATTATTAGCCCTAATTTGCAAATGAGGAACCTAAGACCCAGAACTGGGAGCTGATCTGCCCAAGTGGGATGGCAGAGTGAGCCAAACCGGCATCCTGCCTCCCTCAATGCCTACAATTATTGTGTTTCTCACCCAGAGGAACTTAAGGAACTGAGCCATGCTCCCCTCCCCTCCTAGCTCATCCTTCTCTCCCCTACTCTGGATGTCACAAGCCTAGGAAGCAAAAGAGAAGAAGGAAGGGATGAATTCTAGAGAGAGCAGATATGCCAAAAGGGACTTTGGGGGTCATTCATTCACTTATTCGCCTCCAGGGAGCCCAAGACTTTAAAATGGCCCCAAGGGTCAGGCATGGTGGGGCACACCTGTAATCCCAGTGGCTTGGGAGGCTGAGGCAGGAGGATAGTGAGTTCAAAGCCAGCCTCAGCAAAAGGGAGGCCCTAGGCAACAACCCTGTCTCCAAGTAGAATACTAAATAGGGCTGGGATGTGGCTCAGTGGTTGAGTGCCCTTGAGTTCATTCCCCTGTACCCACTCAAAACAATGCCCCCAAAGACACTGGCGGGAAGGAGGCAGAAGGAAATGGCAGGTCCCCCCTCTCCACACCTTCCATCTAGTATCTGTATCAGGGCTCCCTCCAGGATGGTTTAGCCAAATAAGGAGGAGAAGGGAGAGGGCAGATACAGTTCCCACGTCCTGTGGGTGGCCTTCCTTCCATCTCCCTTGTCTGTCCATTTATCCTGGATTCCTTTCTGCCAGGTGCTCCCTGCCCCCAACGCAGTTAGTCCTTACCAGCTCTGGCCTTTCTCTGCCTCTTTCCTACTGCTGGACCTACCTACCCAACTTTCTGTAGATCTCCCCAAAGGCCTTTTGGGGGTTTGGAAAACAGGGTAGGAAGGGATGGAAGAATACCAAAAAGTCAACAGCAAAAAACAAAAACAACAACGGCCACAACCAAAAAACAAAACAAAGGTCAAAAACCAAGAAAATAAAATGGGGGAAAAAAGAAAAGGAGGGAATAAAAAGTAGAAAAGAAGAAAAAAAGAAAAATGCCCCAGAATAAAGCAAGGCTCAACAGGACCGGGGGTGGAGGCTGTGCAGGAGGCCTTGGGCTTCCGGAAGGAAAAGGCAGCCCATTGTGGGGTCGATGTGTGGGGGTGAGGGGAGAGCCTCAGACTCTGAACAGCTGGCCCCTGAGCTAGGAGTCGAAGACAAGACAAAATTAAAAAAAAAAAAAAAAAAAAGACCCACCTCCTTTGTTTAAGAAATTTCTAAAGACCTTAGAGTACCACAGGTCACAAAATCATTGAGAACACCCAGTACCTTCTGCTCTGGCCACTGAACGTCTGTGTCAAGCCTGTTCCCTCTGGCAGCAGGTAACTGTTTGGGGTGTGAGAACAATGATTTCATAGGAAAAACACCTATTTGATAAGCCCTTTCAAAATATGAATGTCACAATGAAAGAAAAATCGCACACAAAAAAGTTTAGAAACAGTATCATAGCACAGCTCGTCCGTGTTACAGAAGGGAACGTTGTGGCAGGTGGGTATGAGGCCAACATAGTGTCACAGGTGGCCACAAGTTTTTCAGGTTAAGCCTTGCTCAGGCCAGAGACTCCCACCAACGTGAGAGGCTCAGGCAGGGCCGGGAACTCTGGGGAGTCAAAATTTTAAAAAGGAAAAAAAAAAAAAAAAAGAAAGAGGGGGAAAAAAAAAGAAGAAGAAGAAGAAGAAGAAGGGAAGAAAGAAAAGAAAAGAAAAAAAAAAGCGAGAAGCAGTGGGAATCTGTGCCCAAGTGGGCGAGTCTTACGGCCTTCTTGCCTGGCCCGTCTCCCAGGGCTGCGACGATGGCAAAGTACTGAATGACCCGCTTGGTGTTAACCGTCTTACCGGCCCCAGACTCTCCGCTTGGACAACACAAACACGAGTCACCAATGCCCATCTGGCCTAGTTCCCCCAGCCCCAATGCCCTATCCTATGATACCCTTCTCTCCTTCCCCCATCACTCAACACCCAACTCAGCACCCCCAAATCCAAACCCTCAGGGAAAGATCAACCCTCCCGGTGCTTAAGCAAGCCAGCAGCCCATTCCTGTGAGAGGACATGCATGAGGATGCCTCAGTCCACTGAGCACTAACTTAGCTCCAGGGGCTAGGCCAAGTACTTGACCTCCACTGGCTTAGTTAAGCCTTAGAAAAGAAACCCTGTAGACAGGCACCATTATCATTTTATGCATAAGTAAATGGGCCCCAGAAGTTCTGGACTGTCTCTGCTGTGTGCCACGCACATGTATCGACTCACTGACTCCTTATTATTCTACAAGGAAGGTAGGATTGTTCTATTTTTATTGGTGAGGCTCAGAGGCCCAGGGCACAGAGCAGGAAATGGAAACATGAGAGCCCGAATCCAGGTCTATCTGGTTTCAAGGCCTCTGCTCTTAACTACCAGGCTGCAAGTTTTTGCATGTGTGTGTGCATGTGTACACACAGACACTGTCCGTATTGGCTTGGCTGGACATGAACCCTATATGTAGGAAATCTACCACCTTCCTTTACCTTCAAAGGAAGAAGAATCAGATACAAGGAAATGATGAGGATGAGGAAGGGGAAAGGAAATCCCTGTTTCTCCCCCTTTTCTCTTGAAAATTAGAACCCCCAAAGGATCAAGGTGGGAGATTCTGGGCCTAGGGAGAGGCAGTACTGGAGCTGGGCATCCAGAAAGGCTCAGGTCTGATTTAGCTTCAGCTGGCACACTGGCTCCAGGTGGCAAAAGCCCTGCCCTTAAGCACCCTGGATTCAAAGCTGGGAAATAATTTTGGTTCTGCCCCCTTCCTGAGTACTTCCCACCCCACCCCACCCGCGCAGCCCCACACTCACGTGATCAGCATGGACTGGTTCTCCCTGTCTGGAAGAAAGGAGAGGGTAAGAAAAGTCATCCAAGGAGGGACACCTGGCGTGTTGGGGCGGTGTGGGGTGGGCAGCCCCCAACAACCCAGGACAAAACCAAGGACAGGTCTAATCTGGAGAGGCGCATGGCTGCGCTAGTCTCCTACAGCATCAGAGGAGGGCAGTGCAAGAGGAGGGAAGGGCGTCCTCTACAGAGGCCTCCCTGGGGCTGGGGAGAGGTCTTGAGCGGAGGAGAGGAGTGGAGGCAGCCCTTACTGCGCAGCATGTCGTTGTAGGCGTTATCGGCCACTGCATAAATATGAGGCGGGGCCTCAGAGCGGCGCTTTCCCTTGTAAGCGGCCACAACTGAAGCCGTGTAGACAGGGAGCCATTTGTAGGGGTTGATGGTGACACAGAAGAGGCCCGAGTACGTCTGAGGAGACAGTTTATAGGTAGGGTTTTGTTTTAGGGGTACAAATTCACATTCCCAGGCACCATTCCCCAAAACACCATGACCCCTGCAATATTCAAGGAGCTACTTGAGGCCACATCCTCTTGGCTGTCTGGGCCCTGCGCAGACCCTTCTCCCATCCTCAGGTCCGCCCCCAGCTGGTGACTCCGCCTCCACAGGGCACAGCTGAACCTCCTGCCTCTCAGTAGTTACAGCTGCACGCCTGTGGTCCGCGCCCTTGGATTTGCCTCCACAGCACTAGGACTCCACCCCGCCCTACCTGCGGCCACCTTTCCTTCTGCCTAGGCTGTTCCCCAAGCGCAACCTCTGCCACTACAGTTTGGCCCCTACAGCCCCAGAGCCATCCTTCCAGCCCACCTCTAGCCACAAGCATTGGCAGCCCCACCCCAGCCCACGGCTCACGTAGATCATCCAGCGAGCATAACGCTGGCGCAGGTTGTGCAGCACCGAGGCCTCATTGAGGTGTGTCATCATGGCCATGTCCTCGAGTAAGTCGAATCGGGGCGGGTTCATAGGCTGCAACTCGGTTTCCCGTACTGTCAACACCTGCCAAGAAGGTGTGTCACAGCAAGCAAATCTACTGACCCTACCTCTTAACATTCTCAGACCCCAAAGTATGGATCCCAAGGGTCAGGAGCTTTGTCACCAAGAAGAGAGGGACTAATCTCAGGAAAAGGTAAGCTGAACCTTCTGGTCTTTGGTCTCCACGTTGACTCTGCCCCCGGTAGCCTCTGACTTGACCTCGGCCTCCACATAGGCATCCTGTTCATCTGGCACCCAGACCCGCTTCTTTCCTAGGTGCCAGAAAGATCATTGGGCTTAGAGAGCTGCTTGAGCACCTCCAAGGGTTCAGGTGGGGTTCCCAAGACTGTTCATAGAGTTGTACCCCTCCCAGAAGCTACTCCACCAGATCTCCAAAGATGCCCTGATGGGATGTAACAGTCTGGGAAGCACATGTGCTTCAGCCCTATTTGCCCTACAACCGGGGGAAATCCTCATTCTCTCTAGGCCCATTCCCTCAAATGCAAAATGTCATGAGGCTTTCCTAAGGTCCTATATAAAGCAGCCCCTCAAAATCAGGTACATAACTTCCAGGAGGTTCCTGCCTTCCCCATTTCATTTATGACTCAGGTCTAACTGTCCTATACTTTGTTGACACCTCTTTCCAGCTGGTCTCAGAGCTTTGGGTAGCACAGATTTTGTAGTAGTTAAACACATGGACTAGGGTTGCAGACTGAAGGTTCCCTTCCCTTCTACTTCTAGCCAAGAGAATCCTTCAGGACCATCTACTTAACTTGAAGGCCCCAACACAACATAATGCAGACTCATTTGTTTAAAAAAAAAAAAAAGGCTTCTTTAACAATTCAAGGTAGCAACAGCAGAATGCTAAATCAAGCAGCAGACCCTTCTAAGCTCCGTCCCCTGTGCAACCAGAGGTTACACACCCTTAAAGCTGTCTCTGGCCCTGTCCCCCCCACCCTTCCCCGTTGTCGAGAGGATGCATACAAAGTCATCTGCTCTGGACCTGGCTCACAATAAGCACTCGATACGCATTGCCTATTGTTATTATTGTCCTATGAGCAATCCAAGTCATAAATAGTAGTCTTTATTTCTGTCTCTAACAAACAGTGACTTTGGCTCTGTGGAAAGCACTAAAAATAAGATCAGCATAGGTTTTGTAGACATGTTGGGGACATCAGCACACATGCTACTGGTCTCATCTCAGAGGCCTCAAGTTCCAGCCTGAGACTTCACAAACTACAGCTCCAGGAGGCAGGTGGTATTATCCCATTTTATAGAGAGACAAATTGAGGCTTGCTGATAGACACACAGTGATGTACACATGATCCCTAGGACTTTAGCCTCTAAGACCCGGAATCTGAGGGCCAGGTCCAGAGCTAAGGCTGTTAGCCAAAGTGCCACTTCAGCCCCAACTGGAGTGCCACTCCTCTCCATTCCTGATCTGAGTTCAGAAAGGCTTCTCTGAGGCTGTATCTATCCACCCTGCCCCCCAGCCTTCACTCACCATCCCACGGGACAGTGTGCACCTTCATCAGCTCCTGATAGCCCTGGCGGAGGTAGCGGGCAGACTCTCCAAGTTCGCTCACATCCATCATGGCAGTAAGACGTGGAGACAAAAGGCCTGGAAATCTGGGGAGTTCAAGGCGGTCCTAGGCAGTAGGCATTGGAATATGGCAGTGACCAGGAAATGAGGGACCAAGGGCCCCACACTGGCAGGACCCTCCAACCCAGAAGGCCTGATACTAGGTGACTCCCTGGGTGAGCCCCCCAAACACGCACGCACGCACGCACACACACACACACACACACACACACACACACACCCTCTCAAATACTACAGCATCCTCTCCTACAGATATGGAAGATCTTTATCCACCCGTGGGAAATCTTGCCTGCCAACCATCTGGCTCCAACCCCAGCCCTGGTCACCCACCTCAGCACCACAGTGAGGGCAGGGAGTTGTGCTACCCCTTTTATTGCTGCCGTCAAGGTCACTGGAGGAGAGCTATGTCAGCAATCTCCACGTGTCACAGCCCCCCCAGCCTGGCCACAGGACACAAAAGGCAAATTCCCTTTTATCTCCACCAGCATGGCCCCTGGGCTATTTTTACCTCCCATTGTCAGGGGATCACAAAAGCAGAGAGAGACACTCCACTCAGAGACAGGGAGGCTGGGATTCAGAGACTGACAGGGGCAGAGACAAGGCAGTGGGGAGCTCAGAGATGGAGACTGAGTTACAGAGAATCTGATACACCCACAGAAAGACCCTCACCCTCAGAAACAGAGAACAAACAGACTTAGAGAGGGGAACCACAGAACGCCCTCTGAGGCCATCTACTTCCATTCTCCTTACACATCCAGGGATGCAGAATCCCAGAGAAAGAACACTGGCCAAGCCTCACAAATCAGCAGAGACAGATGCAGTAGAGAAACCGAGAGTGAGACATCCCTCTCCAGGACCTGGACACTGTCTCTTGTTGCCCTGCTTCTGTCTCCTCTCTCTGAGGGGACCTAAGGGAAATCATGTAGGAAGAAAACCAGCCCTGGGCCACAGAGTAAAGGAATGATTGAGCTGAAGAGGAAGCAAACCCAGGAAACTTAGACCAATTAGGAACCCCTTCATATTCCGACAGTCAAGATTCAAAGGAGTCAGGCCCACACCCATAATTCCAGTGACTTGAGAGGCAAAGGTAGTAGGATCTTAAGTTCAAGGCCAGCTTTAGAAACTAAGCAAGATCCCGTCTCAAAAAATAAAAAAGGCTGTAGATGCCATGTGTGGTGCACATGCTTGTGATCCCAGTAACTTAGGAGACTGAGGCAGGAGGATTGCAAGTTTAAGATCAGTCTTTGCAACTTAGCAAGCCCTAAGCAACTTAACAAGATCCTTTCTCAAAATGAAAAATAAAAAGGGACTGGGTGTGACTCAGTAGTTGAGTGCCCCTGGGTTCCATCTCCAATACTGCAAAAAAAAAGAAAGAAAGAAAAAGAAAAAGAAAAGAAAAAAAGAAAAAGATTCATAGGTATATCTGCCATTCTGACTGGCATGAGATGTAATCTTAGTTTGATTTGCATTTCTTTAATTACTAGAGATGTTGAATATTTGTTGATTGAATGTATATCTTCTTCTGAGAAGTGTCTGTTTAGCTGCTTAGTCTATTTATTGATTGGGTTGTTTTTGTTTGTTTGGTGTTAAATTTTTTGAGTTCTTTATATGTCCTGGAGATTAGTGCTCTTTATGACGTGCATGTAGCAAAAATTTTTTCCCCAAATGTAGGCTCTCTCTTCACCTTATTGTTTCTTTTGCTGAGAAGAAGCTTTTTAGTTTGAGTCCATCCCATTTATTAATTCTTTTTTTAATAGTTTTATTTTATTCATTTTTTATATGGTGCTGAGGATAGAACCCAGGGCCTCAAATGTGCTAGGCAAGTGCTCTACTGCTGAGCCACAACCCCAGCCCACCGATTATTAATTCTTGATAAAAAAAATTTAGCTGTTGATGGACCTTTATTTTATTCATTTATTTATATGTGGTGCTGAGAATCAAACCCAGTGCCTCACACATGCAAGGCAAGTGCTCTACCACTGAGCTAAAACTCCAAGCCTAATTTTTTTTTCATATTTATTTTTTAGTTTTTGGTGGAAAACAAACATCTTTGTTTGTTATGTGGTGCTGAGGATCGAACCCGGGCCGCATGCA